CACTATGATAAATGTATATGCACAGAAATAAGCACTTTATAACAAACACTTATCCACTAAATATGATTCATGACATTTATTTGAGTTGAAAACTCAGTGCCCCTGTGATGTGGGTCTATTACACTAAGGGGCCGTTTACCAAACACTTATCCGATAAATGCTTACCAGTAAAATTTTACACTATTATTTACTTACAGGGTAATATTTTGGTCCACCAAAACGACATTGTATCCAACAATTTACCCGGTAAGCTCTTACTGTGAGGTAGTGTGATTTGGTAATCGCTTATCCGGGTAAGCGTTTGGTAAACGGCCCCTAACATTCATCTGTTATGTCTGTTACTTTCTCCAAGCATTCTGGCTACCCTTTACATGCACTGAAGGACGTGATTGTCAGACTTTTATAATTGCAAGACATAAAATGCCTCTCTAATTTGGAATGAGGTTGTTTAAGCACCTACAATAAACCGGTAGAGACGAACAACAACCAAAATAACTCTAGAAACAACAATAAATCTTAATCAAATAGAGCAACCAAAACAGAATCATGTATGCATATTCAGTCACATAAAGATTAAAATCAAGTAAGCAATTAAACCTATAGGTGGAGTTTTGCTCCCCCATGTAAGCAAAAGTTATGTTAAGGTCGCAAACATAGCAATGCGGATTGGTTTCTATTTTGTCATAACAATGCAAGATATACATAAAAGGAATCGGCACCCTAGGAACCCTCTAATAGAGCATGCCTTCAAATACAATGGACCAAAGAAGTCAATATGAAAGATGCCCTAACCCCCAAAAATAATCAAACCCCAAAAGTCTGCAAAAGCTTACAAGAAGAAAGAAGACGAGATGGACAGAACCCTAAACAGAATTACCTGGAAGGTTGAAGAAGACGACGATGGAGGCAGAATTGAAGGTTGAAGAAGACGACATTGGAGGCATGATTGAAGGTTGAAGAAGATGACGATGGAGCGATGGATTGAAGGGTGAGAGCGAAAGCGGTGGGGAGCGATTTTGCCTGAAATCGTTTAGGGTTTATGAAATTGAATTGGGTTAGGGCGATGAAATCGTTCCTGTTGGCGATGAAATCCGATTTCGGGAATTTAGGGAGGGAATTGGGTTTCTGTTGGAGATGAGATCGTTTGGCCATGAAATAGGATAGGGTTTTTTATTTGAACGGGTTTAGGGATTGCTTTAATAAGTTGTACTATTAGTAATAGAGGTTGTTTTTAAGAGTTTAAGAGATTAAGAGTTTAAGAGTTTTAGTCAAATGCATTATAAGATAGTATAGATATATAGGATTGGGTTCACGTGAGACCAAGGGTTTTTTCATGAGACCCGTAAGACCAATTTATGTTCATTGATCAACTTTATAAACTAATGATCTAATGGTCTAAAGTTGCACGGTGACAATTTTGTGATTATTGAGAAGTCTCGTGGCAATTTTGTAATTATGAATGTTCAAATTGTAGATCTAATCCAAGGGTTGAGAATTGGTCTTACGGGTCTCACGAAAAACCTTTGGTCTCACATAATCCCAAGTCTATACATCACGTGAGACCATGTTATTTTTGTGAGACTCGTAAGACCACATTTTTACACTTGAAATTTCACAGCAAAAACACTGTGAAGGTTTAAAAAAGTCGAACCTTCACAGCAAAAACACTATGAAAGTTACCTTCACAGCATTTTGCTGTGAAGTTTTAAGTGTAAAAAGTTGGTCTCATGGGTCTCACGAAAACAGTCTGATCTCATGTGATCCCAAGTCTATATATATATATATATATATAACAATGAACAACATGAAATGAGAATAAGTATATCAGATTAATTATATAACAAAATGGAATATTCATTATAAAGAATTTTGTACCTAAAACTAATTGTTTAATACAAAATAGATTAAAGTAAAAGGTAAATCAAAAATCACATAAAAATTTGGCATCCCTTCTCTTTAATCCTCATATAAGCACCCATTTGTTCCAACACATCGTCATGTTATCAATACACGATAGCCAATTTTAACCACAATTCAATATTTAGAATTCTCAATTCACATTGTAACATATTGTTTCTCTTGATTCTTATTTTTATATTCCTAAAACAATAAAGATAAACAACATGACATAAAATAAGTGTATAAAAAAAATTTAATATCCGCCCACTCGCTATATAATTGACGGTCACACCACTGATCGACGACCGCACCATTAAGGCTTATTAAGGATCTCGAAACTTACATGTCAGTTGCCCATATACGACCTCCCCTGCCCCCTTCATCCGATTTGCGTTTGGGGTCGGTGACAATTATGGATAATGAGGGCTACTAGCTCTACAAGTTCAGATCCATCGATTTCCTGACAATTATGGATAATGAGGGGTACTAGCTCTACAAGTTCTGTAAGAATCAACAAAACAAAGTAACAAACGATAATCAAAATTGATCTTTCTCTCTCTCTCTCTCTCTCTCACACACACACACATATATATATATATATATATATTTATTTATACAAACCATATACATATATTAAATACTATAAAAAATTTATCGGAGTCAGATTAGGGGCGGGTAATGCCTTTCCCCGACCCCGATTCGTGTATGAAAATAAATCCTCATCCCCGTCCGATCACCCATCAAAGCTATCTCCTTACGGGCTTCATTCGATAGCAACCCATTTTTCAACTTTGGTATCAAAATAACTTCCTTGAGTGGTTAAACGAGGTATCGATGGCACGGTTTAACAAATAAACACTAACATATTGTTTGTGATATCCGTTTTATTTCTGCATTTCGGTTGTTGGATCTTTTACACGCATTGTGGTATTTGAGACCTCTATTTGAACCGAGGAATCAAATAGACTGGGAATTTACCTGGCTGTTATCTTCAGGGTCTTATAGAATTAGTTGAGATGCATGCAAGCTGACCAGGACATCACCTTTTTAAAAAAAAAAACTATCAAGAGTATTATTGTACTTTGTTTGATTTAATCATATACCATAGAAAAACAAGAACAAAACATCGTATCACGACTGAATGAAACGTGTTCCGAATCGGAATAACTTTTACATTTCCATCGACATTTCCCTAGTGACTAGTCTTGCAATCGAAAACCTTTATACGTATGAATTGTTTTCTGTAAAGAAAGAAAAAAATATGCAACTATCTACGAGAATCAAATAAAAGATCCCAAGTTACCATGTCGTCCCCTTGCTTAAACCGACGAAACCCATTGGTCAAAAAGAACCGTTTGTTGCGACCGTGGTTTGTTCATCATAAAAGCAACTAGAACGGGCTCGAAAGACTCTCCTACAAATAACATTGTATCAACAATTAGCGTCCCAATTCCCCCTGCCGAAGAGGCGTTAATAAGCGTTGCTACATCGGTATGTATTAAAAAGTAAACCGAGTATATTTTACATATAAATATGTCTGTAAGGATGGTAGGATGTACGCAGATCTTAGTAAACATTAAAAAGAATATGCATAAATGTCTTTATAGACGGAAAAAATAGGAAAAAAGGGAAAAACTAAGATTGATATATATTTCGTTTGAGTTATTTACCTCGTGAGACAGCGGAATACTTTGTTTTTCGATATCACACATCATCTTCACCGTCATGCCATGCCATTCATCTATCCAAGCAAAACAATTACGATGGCTTTCAAGAAACAACGCCCTTTCGCCCTACAAAAAGCACGTCCACATAACTATAAATTAGAAGAAAAAAAAGTCTCGTTCTAATCGTGGTAGACGATTATAAATGAAAACGCCCCACGATGGCATAGCTCAGTGGCAATCCCCTGAGCCAATAAAAAGGGTAGTTCGTCTTACTCCCAAGTCCCAAGTTCGATTCGATTGGGTGCAAAAACCCATGTGGCCAAGACTTCGCCCGTTATAGGACTGTATGGCAGTGGGCCCAGACCACGTGGATCAGTGGCGCGTTCCCGGTACCACTTTTATTAAATTAGCTACTTGAATGGAAAGTTGATTAAGGCAAAGAGATACCGCAATTAAAGCTTGCTCGAGCCGACTACCAAAACCCCAATATGGAGCGTCTACTGTCACCAATTTATATGCGGTCATAACCGGTTTACAATGATCCTGAGAATGGATCACATCCGATCGTATTAATTAACCATTAAAAGACGGGAATTTTCAATAGATAGACAAAAAGATTCGATCTTTTAAGACCATTATTGAAAAAACAATGAGATTAACAACCTGCCATCCTTCTAAAAGCGGGCCACGAGCAGTTCTTGATGACTGGAATTTGGAAAAGTCGACAGTGTTACTACCAATTACGTAACTCCAATAGTCGTCTGATGTTGAAGCTATATCAATGATTTCAACCTCCCGGTCAGCTAATTGTTGTTTGTTTAGACCGTGAACCTAGATCAACAATTGTATGTTAGAAATCAAAAGTCCTCAAGTAACAAGAGAGATGATGATGAAGAAACACCAGAGATGCACAAGGTCCAGGCTTTTCTGGGCAGGGCTTTGGGGTTGAAAGAAGGCCCGATTGGGCTTTTTCAATTCTGGCTTTAATCGGGCCCTAAAAAGAAGTTGACCTATCGAGCTTTAAGGCCGGGGCTGGGCCTAGGCCCGGGCTTTTCGTATCAGGCTCAGGCTTGGGTTTCTTTGTGCATCTAAATTTCAGATCAAACCAAACGAACCAGTAAATCTCACATGAAGTAGAGTCGGGAGGAGGGTAGGATACAATCAGACCTTACCTTTAATGATGCATAAAACACAAAAAGCCAGATTAACAACGAATGGTAAACAACATATATGCAACTTACATTTTCTGAATGTCCATTGTCGGCTCTATGAATTGTTTCGATGGTCAACGTAAAACTTGTGAAATATGGACACTGCACGAAAGCAAAAGCTCGAGCAATTTAAAAATTAATCAAGAATTCATACGACACCAGCCAAAGATTAACCGGTAATAGAATAAGAATTAGATTCCATATTACCTTAATTACTGCAGATATCCCATGTAGTTTAATAAGACAAAGAAAGTATGTGAATAAAGTTTCCGTAAAAATTCTATATACTTGAAAGAAAAATCAAGTTGACCAAGCAAACCTGTTTTGCATCTCGGGTATGCGTTCCAAGCTTCCTCTTGCATCGTGAGAGCATCGGTTGGCGCAAAACTACTAAGCCAAGTAGGAGCCTTACTGCATATGGCCAAAAGCACAATTAACCGAACAAAACCATGAGAACAAAACGATGACTTATTAGCTGAAATTTGCAGCATTCTTTGCAACAAAATCGGGTTTATAGGACGTCAAAAATGTTGATGCTTTTAAGTGTTTTAACAAGTTTTTAAGATGCTTTTAAAATAAAGTGTCGTATTAGCTTTTTTACAAAACACTTTTGAGAAGTGTCGTATCACATGAACACATCTTTTTATCAGACACTTGTTTTAATAAAAAATTGTTTCAAATAATGTCAGAGAGAAAAATTAATAGGACACTTTATTTCAAATGTGTCCCCAAAAACTTGTTAAAGATGCCCAAAACTGTCATATAAACTTATTACAACGCTTTTACATAGAACACAATTGTTTGGTCCTACAAAGCGGTCAATGAAACTTGAACTATTTTGGTGTTCTATAAACCCCGGTTTTGTTGTAGTGGTTTGACTCAGCATACAGTTTAAAGGAAGTATTCGACTGGAACTAAATGTCTAATGCCCTTAAACTAGAAGAACCCTGTGAACCTAAACCACAAGGGTGGTGCCTGATTGGTATGAGCTTGGCTCCAAAGGTCAAAAGTACCAGGAGATCTCAAGTTCAAATCCAAGAAGGAATAAAAATTCCCTTGTGGCCACGGAGGTTCAAATGCGGTGACTCCAGACTATCTGCAAAGCAGGTGGTCGCCCTTGGATTAGTCGACTCGCATAGCGGGTTAGATATCTAGGTTAATCAAAAAAAAAAGGAGGCATCATGTGGTGTTTAAGTTTTTGCATATGGGTCATTTGGTGTTTAAATTTCTACCAAGTTTCCTTTAGAAGGATTTATAGAATAATATTTTCACAAAAACAACAGGTCTACTCTTTTGGGCAACGGTCAGGTCTACATACATCTCACCCCTCATACCCTACTTTTGAGTCGGGTGCATTTAGTTTGATTACATGAAATACATACTATGATGAGAGTTCATGCTCTTGCACAAGTCGGGGGTCTCACAAGAACAATCGCTCTACTCTTTCCCACCCACAAGACCCTACTTTCAAGTGAGATATACTACTGATCAGTTTGGTTTGGTTTTCATGCTACTATGAGAAGCGCAAAAGTAACTATAAATTACACGACATCATGTGGTTTATACTACCTTTGGAGGCGGTAGACTTTGGATGTGTATCGACCCTTTCCAAATAAACCATCTTCAAAGTTTCTATTCTCTAAAACATCCACTCCTTCAGTGCTGCTAGTGTTCTGTTGCTGCATTTTCATTACCATATACATCTGAGCTACCTGATACTGAAAAGCCAAATAAAAAGTAGCTTTTAACATAACGAAACCAAAACAAATTCAAATCCACAAGAACTTTGCTATACCTCTTCTAACGACAACGGCATAACAATCCGGCTTTTTTAGTCAAGAAAGCTGAGTTAAGAAGAAAACCCCAGGACTTCATTGAACAGTTGATATAACAGTAAAAAGCAAACCGAAAACATCCCACATAGAGGTGGGGTGGATGTAAGTAGACCTTCTAACTCTACTGCAATGGAGGATATGGGATGAAAATTACTTCCTCCTAACACTAGGGCATACAAACAGAACCCTCTTAATACAATTTGCAAATAAGATGCATAAAGTTATAGTTTTAGAGGCTAGGACTTGGAATCATGTGAGACCAGGGTTTTTCGTGAGACCCAGACCAATTCTCAATCCACAAGATCCACAATCTGAACATTCGTAGTCACAAAATTGCCACGAGACTTCTAAATAATCACAAAATTGCCGCCGTACAACTTTAAGCCATTAGATCATTGACTTATAAAGTTGATCAATGAACATAAATTGGTCTGGTCTCACGAAAAACTCTTGGTCACACGTGAACTCAACCCAAGTGACTAAATACGACAATTAAGAGCTCTTAATCTAATGGGGTTCCATGTATTTTGACATAAAGTAAAAATCTTTAAACCACAAGAGCATCAGTATTCAACTGTTTTAGACAAACCCCAATTCAAGAAGGCTTTGATTAGAAAGCCCTAAATAGAATGTTGTCATGTTTCCCTAATAAGATTCGTCATACAAACGGTTGGAAGCAAGTATTATCAAACAATAACGAATCACATCATCATCAAAAATACTTCATTCTACGGCAAATAATCTTGGAAATTCTCCATTAAAATGGATATTCATCTGAGATTGATTGAGCAGACTTGGAAACTTGAAAACGAACACACACAAAAATCACCAAACCCTAATCAAATTGCAGTGAAATTAAGGGAAAAGGATACAATTCCTTGATCAAAACCATGGCGTAGAGCTTTCTTGAACGAAGAGAAATTCAAGTTTTAGAGATAACTAATAAAGGGAAAAGGGGGGTTTAAGAGATTTAAGAAGATTGTGTGATGGTTTAAAGTATTTTTTTGGTCAACAGGGTGAAGAAAGCCATCACCATTGTTGCGTAAGCGTGTGTAATGATTCTTTGAAATATCGTCGACATCTTCAACACTGGTGGACTTCCACCATTTGGAGTCCGTCCGGTCCGTTCGTTGTAGTTTCCGAAACCATAATATTTTAATTCAAGAGCCTGTGAAAAGGATGTGGCTTCAAATACAAATATAAAATATCACTTCCCCATGGATTATCGGGAAAAAAAAATTTAAAAATTATTTTTTATGCATGAAGTAATATATATATTGATGTGTTTATTTAAAATTCAAGATTACAAGTAAATTATACATAAGTATAACTTATTAAAGCTCCATGTTTAAATTTGTACAACTAACTACGGATAAACATAATCAAATAAAGCATAAACATCTTCTTTTAAAATATAAACAATTTAAAATATAATTAGAATAATTATCGAGTTCTAATAAAATAATTAA